CAGAGGCATTAGAATCAGACAGTCCTGGGGGCAAATCCTCTGAGAACTTGGGAAAAGTGTTAACTTTCCTGGGTCTTGGCTTTTCTTAACTATGAAACGGCAACAGGAATGATCACGTTGAGGGTTCTTTGAAGAATTCAGAGAGATGATAGATGTAGCACAGGGTGCCCTTTTATTTTATTATTATTATTATTTTTTTTTTTTTTGAGACAGAGACAGACACAGCACGAGCAGGGGAGGGGCAGAGAGAGAAGGAGACACAGAATCCGAAGCAGGCTCCAGGCTCTGAGCTGTCAGCACAGAGCCTGATGTGTGGCTCGAACTCATGAGCCGTCAGATCATGACCTGAACCAAAGTTGGACGCTCAACTGACTGAGCCACCCAGGCACCCCTAGGATGCCCTTTCAGACGAAACTTTTATTTTTCTTTCCACCTGCCTCCAGGATTCCTTCCAGAGCATCACAGGCCAGGATCCCCTGGCCCCATGCTAAGATGGTGGGAGACTGTGAGTCTGTATGTGTCTGCCTCCTCCCCTGGGCACGGAGCAGTGAAGCCAGCTCTCTGCAGGCACAAGAGTTGGGGGTGGATGTGGGGGGTGCAGCCAGTAGAGATGATGGCTCTGGGGACAGCAGTCCTCCCTCCCAGCCCTCAGGCCACTTCAGGACACGGATCCCTTCAGGGGCATCCAACCCAAAGAGGGTCACTGCAGCAGCTTCCAAAGGGGGTGTTGGAGACCCGGACATGTAAATAACTCTGAGGAGACAGCCCCTTGGCACCCCTTCCTGGTCATCAGGAGTACACATTACGTTATTCAGAGAGACCCTGAGGTTTCAAACCACTTCATATTTAATCAGCAATCATGCTTCCTTCCAAAACCCATTCCAGGAAAAACATCAGTTTAGCTCTCGACAAGAAACAAAGCTTTCTGAAAACTTGCGCACATAGCCCGGGCCTTGAGGGACACACAGCCTCTTTTGAGTCAGAGGTGGTGCCAGCCTAGGACACTGTGGCCAAGGCAGTGCACGTTGGTCCAGTGTTTCAGGTGTCCTGAGTCCTGAGATGAGCTCATGGTACAGCAGGGCAGGGGGCTGATGAGCACATTAGACATAATTCTTTTTTTTTTTTTTTTTAATGTTCACTTACTGAGAGAGAGTGAGCATGAGCAGGGGAGAGGCAGAGAGAGAGGGAGAGAGAGAATCCCAAGCAAGTTTCACGCCCAACCCGAAGCCCAACACACGGCTTGATCCCGTGACCCTGGGATCATGACCTGAGCTGAGATCAAGAGCCACCCAGGCGCCCCTCATTAGACATAATTCTTACCCTCATAAACTCCACACACTCTGTGTTCCCACTGGGTATAATTGTACGAGCTATAGGCAAATTCAGCGGAACTTTGAGAATGTATAACCCGGAGGCTGGCTCTAGTTCAGACTGGGTGGGAGTTGCCTGCTCCTTTCTTTATGGTGGGAACCTGGGGATGAGTCCAGTCTTCAAAATCATTTGCAGATTTTAAGTCCATGCTATTTCTAGATGCCATGTCAGCCTCTATGGTGTAGCCACAGATCAAGAAGAAAGGAAGATGAGGCCGGAAAGAGTACCAACCCTCAAGCTGAGGTGCCGTTGACAAAAGCCCTGAACCTCACGGTGTTTTGGGGGCGTCCTCCTGTTTCCCGTGGAGAGGCATTCCCAGGGCCTCCCTGTTTTGCACCAGGAAGTGAGCTCAGAGACTCTGTGTTGCTTGGTTTTGAGCTCTGTCCCACATCTGCAAAACAGGGACAATAAGAGTCTCTGGCTCTGGGACGCCTGGGTGGCTCAGTCGGTTAGGCGGCCGACTTTTGATTTTGGCCCAGGTCATTATCTCGTGGTCCATGGGATCGAGCCCCACGTCGGGCTCTGCGCTGACAGTGCGGAAGCTGCTTGGGATTCCCTTTGTCCCTCTCTGTCTGGCGCGCCCCCCCCCCCCCCCCCCCCCCCCTTCTTTGGGAAAAAGAAAAAAGAAAAAAAAAAATCTCTGCTTTGCCGCCGTGTGGTGAGAATGCCTCTGGAATACCAAGGGGAAGTGCCCAGCACCAGCTCCCAGCTTGTAGTACCTGAGGGATGCTCGCCTGTCTCTTCCAGGAAACTTGTCCACACGAGACTGAGGCACTCTGTGGCACGGGCCGGGCTTCAGCTACGTATGTGTGATTCCTAGTCCAGGGCTCCCTGCCCCGCTGTACCATGAGCTCATCTCAGGATAAATGGTGGAAAATTCTAGCAGACCTTAACTTTATGCTTTGAATTTGAACTTCATTTGGGAGATATTAGGGATACGCTGAAGCTCTTTAAACTGAAAGTCATATGACAAAGCTGCTTTTGGATGTGGGGTGACCAGGGTAGATATGGGGGCTGAGGATACAATGAAAACTGGGGAGTAAGAATCTGTTTTATTTTGACTGTCCCACGCAGTTGGGTCTTGAGGAATAGCTACTCCCGAACTGGGGCAGGGCGAGGCTGGGAAGGACAGACTGGACAGGGGTCATCTCCCCCTGCAAAGCACTTAGTGGCTGCCTGTGTAATTTGAGCCCGGCTCTGATTTAATCTCTGTGGCCCATCAGCTGTGCCCACAGCATCTACCCCAGCATCCGCTTGCTACGATGTTGGCTGGCGATTATACCCTTCCACCCTTTGAAGAAGACGAGGGCTTCAGACGCCGAATTTAAATCGCTGCCATTCAAGGTCAAAGTGGTAATCGTTCTGCCGGTCACCCGTCAGGAATTATGTCATAGTTGTTCCTCTTGCCAGGAGCTTTCCAGATATTATCTCTCATTCTCCCAGCAACCCTGAATAATGGGTATTATTATTTATACTTTATGGAAAAGGAAAATGAAGCTCTGAGGTTAACAGTTTGCTAAAGGAAAGAAGTAGAAAATGATCCTAGCCTGCTCTGAGTGTGAAACTTACTGCTTTCTGCCCAACCGCCTTTTACAGATGATCCATTTTTCCAGATGAGGAAACTGAAGCTCAGAAAAGCTAGGTGAATTACCCAAGATCATGCAGCTGATAACAACAGCTAAGTAACAGCTAACTTTTATAGAGCGTGCTCTATGACCCCGGGCGGTGGGCTTAGGGCCTAATGTACATTCTCTCATTTAATCTACCTAACAGCCTGCCTTACATCACCAATAAATGCCAGAACTGGTATTTATGATCAGGTCTACCTCTGCTCAGAGCTTTCTTCTGCCCAGTTCTGCTCTAAGGAGACTGATGGGGGATTGATATAAATCCCAGGTTTTCAATGGAGGAAAGCTAATGTTGGCTAAGAAAACACCTAATCAGAATTTATGGGGTGAAGTTGTCATGAATGCAATTCCTGTCCATTTCTAAGTGATGGATGGAGGTCAGAGCACCAAGGATCGGGAATCTCTGGCCTCACGTAATGGACATTTGAGCGAAGGGCACCAGTCAGTCTCTGCGATGGATGAGCAGATAAAAGCCCCGAGACACCCGGGATGGCTGAGATGAGATGGATGAACGCAGGCTGCCTCTCTGGGATCTTTCTTTCCCAAGGAAGTTGATAGAAGATGTGTCAGGCTTCGCTCACTGCATTCCAGCCCAAAGGGTCAGCTGTCCAAAACCCGAGAGCGTCCCATACCCAGAGGTGAGGGGGCTGGGGAAGGGTGCTCACAGTCTCTGCCCCAGTCCTGGAGGCGAGGTGCTGTCTGCTCTGTCAGTACCGCAGACATTCCTGGGAGGTGAAAGGCAGTTCCACAGGCAGTCCTGGGAGCCCCTCCGAACCCCGGGAAGGCCCTGCTCATCCTGGCTGGCTCTCCCTTGAAACAATGATGGAAAATGCAGGGCCTGCTGTGAAGAGTGGTGGAGGCCGGAAGGCAGCAGCTGTATCAGGAGCCTGGTTTATTTTCTCCATGCAACCCCGGGAGAGTCATCACGTCATAGAGTTGGAAGGCTAATCAGAAAATTAGTGGACTTTGGTGGAGATTTTTGGAATTATAATGAGTGCTCGCAGATCCGCAGTTTCCTTTCTGTGCCCCAGTAGCCCAGTGAGGAGTGCATTGTTATTCTACCCATTTTAATAAACGAGGTGACCGAGGCCTCGTAAGGGCAAGTCATTTGTCCTTATGCCTTGGCTGCTAAGTAATGCAGCCGGGTCTCGTGTGCAGGGCTCCTCACTCTGGCTCACCTTTTTCCTGCAGTGTGACTTAGATATCACCTGGTTCAGCCTCTGACTGTTTCTACCAACTTTGCTTGAACATCCAACGTGGCCCGTTCTGGGGTCAGACAGTTATAACCGAGTGTTAAAAATAATACCATTTTTTGAGTCCCTGTTATTCTAAATAACCAAGAAGTATTCTAAATGTACAGTGACCCTCCGATGAGCCACACATGGTTTAAATTTGTGGGAATTGAGTTTCATAGAACACAAATGACTTGCTTAAGGTCACACAACCAGTAAGTGATGGAGCAGGAATTCAAACTCAAGTCCATCTTATGTCAAACCCAAGGCACCATATGTTCTCCTCATGTTGAATTACAGTCATCTCTTTTTTTTTTTTTTTTAAGTTTTTTTTTCAACGTTTATTTATTTTTGGGACAGAGAGAGACAGAGCATGAACGGGCGAGGGGCAGAGAGAGAGGGAGACACAGAATCGGAAACAGGCTCCAGGCTCTGAGCCATCAGCCCAGAGCCTGACGCGGGGCTCGAACTCACGGACCGCGAGATCGTGACCTGGCTGAAGTCGGACGCTTAACCGACTGCGCCACCCAGGCGCCCCGAATTACAGTCATCTCTAACTTCCATGTGGATGTTCTTTAAAAATTTTTTTTAATGTTTATTTATTATTGAGAGACAGAGAGACACAGAGTGTGAGCAGGGGAGGGGTAGAGAGAGGAGGAGACCCAGAATCCGAAGCAGGCTCCAGGCTCCGAGCCGTCAGCATAGAGCCCGACGTGGGGCTCGAACTCACGAGCTGTGAGATCATGACCTGAACCAAAGTCGGACGCTTAACTGTTGTCTGAGCCACCCAGGCGCCCCTTCCTTATAGACGTTATTGCTTGCTTTTGCATCAGGCAATTTGTCGTCCTGGCATGTGCTGGAAGAAATGTTTGCTTTCTAAGTCTTCTCTCCTCCAGGTCCAGAATTCCTGGTTCCTCCAGTGCTTTCTGATGAGATGTGACTGTCAGATGGTCCGCGCTCCTGTCATTCACATTGTATCAGGAAGCACAGAGTGGTAGAACAGGCATGGGGCTTGAGGCCTGAAGAAGTGGCCTCTGCTTTAGTTCTGGGTTTACAAGCTGTGTTTCATTACTTGCTTCTGGGATCCTTATCTACTCCAGGTGAATACTACCTAATTCTCAAGGTTGTTTCAAGAATACTGTGTAGGAAATTAAGGCAGTGATAGTCAATTACGAATTATAACAGACCTACAATTAAAAGCCATCCACAATAAAACAGAAAACAGAACTAACCCAAACGTTCACAGCAGAATGGTTAAATAGCAAAGGTACATCATGTCAATGGGATAATATGCAGCTATTAAAGTTTCTTTAAAAAAAAAAGCCTATGATAAAATGCTAATCAAATCAAGCAATATATGTCAGTTATACCTCAATTAAGCTAAAAACCAAAAGAAAACAAACAAGATATAAAACGTTATCTCTAGTATGATTTCCACTCAACATAAAGTAAGCCTGGAATAAAATACATCCCAACATTAATCATCGTTTCAACAATATCTTGAGATGATAGGCTAACAAACAGCACGCACGTGTGTAAATATGTATGTGTGTACATGTGTACATTCTTTACATTTTTCTGTTTTCCAAATTTTCTGCAATGCGCATGGTCATTTTGAAAAGCAACACAAAATATGGGGCTCAGAATGGGGCACAGTGAGCTCCCAGATAGGGCCTCAGTGGCCCAGAGATCAACTAGCACCTTTTCAAAACTATTTTGCTTTTCTGACTGTGCCAAAGTGCCATTTCAGCGGCTCTCCTCTGCTTACTCATCTCTTTTGGCATCACTATCTTGATTTGACTGGATTCAAAGAGGAAGCAAATACAACAGAGTAAAGCCAGTCTTTAGGAACTGCCTGGGCTCAGATTGCAAAAACGATATGCTGACATAGTCTTTAGAAGAAAACCACAGAATGAATCTCTTTAGCATCTCACCAAGAGAGCAGCAAGATGAGAAGTTGCCTCGTCACCTGCTCCTGGAGGGTTAGCTGTTTGGGGCATGCCAAGGCAGGTTGCCAGATGGATGAATCTTGCCTAAAATACCCAGTGGGTGACCTGGGGACAGTTAAGTCTTGTCAGGGTGGCTCCCTAAGTTATGTCTTCTTTGCCTGATAATAATAAAACTGATTGCCTCTAAGCAAAACATGGCTCCCACTTGCTGGGTAGGGCAGGAGGGGAAAGGTAAGGAAAAGAATGTTTTCTGGAGTTGCTTCAACTACAGATTCAGAGGAACAGCAGGAAGCGGAGCCCTTGGAGGGTGTTGGTGTGACTGGTTCTGAAAATAGCAGAACCTTAGCCTTCTTCCTGTCTTGCCATTGGAGTGACCACTGCCAAGGAATTTATTTTTTTTCTATTTACACAATGGAACTATGCAAGAAGAAAAGGAATGTAGATATTATGGGATGCAGGGTACATCCCATTTGTTGTTACCAAGGAGAAGGCATCAGGGTATTGCCAAGGACATCTAGGTGGCAAGGCGGGGTTAGAACTTTACGCCCTATTTAGGGGCGCCTGGGTGGCTTAGTCGGTTAAGCATCCAACTTCGGCTCAGGTCATGATCTCACAGTTCATGAGTTTGGGCCCCATGTCGGGCTCTGTGCTGACAGCTCAGAGCCTGGAGCCTGCTCCCGATTCTGTGTCTCCCCCCTTCTCTCTGCCCCTCTCCGGCTTGTGCTCTGTCTCTCTCTGTCAAAAATAAATAATAAACATTAAAAAAAAAAGAATTCTAGTTACATAATATTTTAAGAAAAAAATTTTTTTAACGTTTATTTTTGAGACAGAGAGAGACAGAGCACGAATGGGGGAGGGTCAGAGAGAGAAGGAGACACAGAATCCGAAACGGGCCCCAGGCTCTGAGCTGTCAGCACGGAGCCCGACGCGGGGCTCGAACCCACGAACCGTGAGATCATGACCTGAGCCAAAGTCGGACGCTTAACCGACTGAGCCACCCAGGTGCCCCTAGTTGCACAATATTAAATGAGGGACACTGAGAGGTCAGAGAGGTTCTGATTTGCCAAAAGACATGGTACCCCAAGTGAATTTCCATGCCTTGGGAGAGCTCACTCTACACCATTTATTGCTTTGTTCGTTCAACAAACTGTTTACCCATCCCTGTCCTCTTGTGCCAGGCAATGCATTTACAACATGATCAAGAAATGGTCGTAGCCTCCATATGGTCACAGTCTGGTCAGGGAGGCAGGCATTGACCCTGGTAGTAATAATTTAGCGTGATCAGTGCTGTAACTAGAAGCAGGCACCCGTGTGGGGGCATTGTACGGCAGGGTTCATTGGTCCTGGTGTGTGGGGTCACAGAGGGCAGAGAGGAGGCAGCTCTTGAACTGAAGCCTGAGTAAGTACACTTCAGAGAAAAGGAGGGGAAGGGCAGGGTAGGTAGAGGAAAAACCTGAGGGAAGGCCTAGAAGGGAATAGAACATGGCTGGCCCAGGGAAGAGCAGTTAGGCCGTGGGGAGGGGAGGCGGGGAAAGAGGTGTGGGCTGCAAAGGAGGCGCTTGCTTGCTCTCTGGAGACCTTTGCAAAAGGAGGAGAACAGGTTGTCATTCTTACCCTGCTGGGATTCAGCTTTTGTCCCTTGTCTGGGCCTCACTCTCTTTGATCCCAGCAAGGCCATTGTTTCCCGAGCACTGGCTTCTCTGCTTCCAGGGGGAAAATGTGGTCTTTGTTCTCCCGAGAGAGACTTTTCATCCCAGTCCTGCCCTGGTGGGGACCAGCCAGGGAGGGGCTCTGTGTGAGGAGCCAGTCCCTGGCAGCTGGGGGGACAAGGGCCGCCCCTGTCCCCGTTCCCCGCCTTGTGTGGGTTGCATAGAGCTCTCAGAATCTGCTTGCTCACTTGGTACAAATCCCGCTGTGTTGGGGGTGGAGAGGGAGTTCTGGGCAAACAGCTTCAGCTTCTTTATTTTGAAAAATTGCCTTTCTTAACGTTTTCAGCCTGATCTGAATAGGAAGCAAATGCAGCGAGGCCTGGTGAAAACCTGGGTTCGAATCCTAGTTCCCCCGTTTACTGGCTGTTGGCTGGGGGAAGACATTTCTGTCCCTGGGAGTCTTAGTAGCCGCTCTGAAAAATCAGGAAAACGATATTTACCCCACAGCATTGCCATGAGGTTTTATGCGCTCATTCAGTAGAATGTTAAGCGCTTACCGTGTGGCAGGTGCCAAAGAAATCTGGGGAAGGAGGGAGACTTGACCTACCCATCATGAAGCTTACCAGCAGGGAAGAGACTCAACACAGCCTTGTAAGTGTTGCCAGAAGAAATGTGGCTTGCCAAGGTGGTGTGTAACAGGACTTCGCTGAGTCTTGGGGCGGGGGGGGGGGTCACGAGAGGGGCCCCCAGAAAGGTGATGCTCATGCTGAGGTTTGCTGTGCATCCAGGGAGCCTGGGATGTGGGAGATGGTTGGTGAATGCTCACTCCCACCCCCTGCCTTGGATCACACCTCTCTCATCAACACCTACCAGGTTTCTGTGGGTTGACGAAACCCCCTCCCCTCTAGGGAGCTTACTCAGCTGAAAAGAAGTGGATGCTGGGGGCCGCTTCCAGTGGCCTGGAAATTGATGAAGACACATACTAGGGAAGGACCACAGGGCCAGGCGGGAGACTTCTCCATGCCTTAATGGGAAGTGCAGACGCCATGCTACTCAGAGTGGAGCTCTGGGCCCAGCTCACCAGGGTAGAGAAGGGGGGCAGCCTCCAGACCGCGGTGCTTTGTGAGGGGAAACAAACGGACCTGTAACTTGATCGAGGTGGCCAGGGAGGCTACAAGAGCTGTAAGGTTGAGGAAGACCTTTCAGAAGCATGTCAGGAGGTGGAGGCAGCTTCCTTTCTTCCAGCGAGGGGGTGTGCAGCACGGAGCTGCCCCTTGGAGTGGCCATGAACCCGGGGGCGTGGGTGGTGCTGCTTTGGGCACCTTTGGGCTGCAGTGCTCATCTGTATGGAGCACCTTCCATAGGCCAGGGACATTTACAGAGCGTGCGCGTTCATTAGTCCTTGCAGCAACCTGTCTGCTGGGGAGCATTTTTACCCCCGTTTGGCACATGAGAGAGCTGAGGCTCAGAGAAGTGAAGTAACTTGCCTGAGGTCACACAGCCAGTAAGTGGTGAAGTTGGGACTTAGGTCCAGTTTTGAATGTCTTCGAATCCATAGTTCTTCCACCGTATTATGCTGCCGGATAACTTGTTGGACAATATTTCCTTCTGAATTTTCTACATATAGTAATGATAAGAAGAATCCCCTTTATGTAATTCGTGTCACAAAGCAGGCGTGCAAATGATATTTCCCAGGGTCCTCGTTGCCCCGTCTCTGCGAGGTGCAGTGTTATCACATTCGGGAAGTTCAGCCAGGCAGGTGGCTCCCCCACTGTCCCGCAGCAGGGAAGCCACGGAGCTGGGGTGGGGGGATGCCAAACCCTGTGCACTCTCAACCGTTGTCTTGAGACTCACTTGGGCTCCTCAGGTATCCCCTGATATCCAGACCATCTCCAGATCCTTAAGATAAAAGCCCAAACACAAACGGTGTGTTTTTCTAACAAGCTCAAAGCCTTCACTTTGTTTCTAATGCTTGATAAAACCAGCAGCCCAAATCCCCTTTCCTGGGGCCCCTCCTGCCTAGAAAGGGCTGGCTGGCCATGTGTATTTTTCACAGGGGCTCCCACAAAGAATGTTGCATGTAACAGGAAACATGTGTCATTGGTGTTTGCTGGAGTGCTGCACCCCATGCCCTTTGCTTCGCAGCTGGTAGCCCCTTCTGCTGAAGCCCTAGGTGGAGGGGACCCCTAGAGAGATTCCCCCCCCCCCCCCAGAACAGCCCCTCCTGCTGGCAGAGCCGGGCACTGAGCTCACCCAGCCCTCTTGTCTCACCTCCCCACGGGAGCCCTTGCTCCCCTTGAGGCTCAGATGTCTCTGAGTTCAAGCTGGAAACGTGCATCATACGCACTCAATCCTATTGGCGGGGGGGGGGGGGGTAAAGTACAGAATGAACCCGGGCACAGACCATTCTGCCTTCTGTCTCCAGGCAGCCGGTGTGCCGTGATTTTTGTTGGAGGAGAGACTAAGTTCACTGTGATGGAGACCTTCATGTCAGTGTGTTTCTGGAGAACTCTGCAGCTTAAGGAAGGGTGTTAGTACTTTGTCCTTTCCCTTCTTAGAAGACAGGGTCACCTGAAGCACTGATTCTTGAACTTGGATGTGTATTAGAATCACCTGGCAGACTTAAGCACAGATGGTGCCCACCCCCCCACCCACCCCCGCCCCGCCCTGTCCTGGGGTTTCAGGTTCTGTGGGTTGGGTACAGCCCCATAAGAAGCACTTTTCTTTTTTAAGTTCATTTATTTATTTTGAGAGAGAGTTGGGTGGGGGGCAGAGAATGAGAGAGGGAATCCTAAGCTGGCTCTGTGCTCTCAGCACAGAGACTGATGCAGGGCTCCATCTCACAATGTGTGAGATCGTGACCTGAGCTGAGATCAAGAGTTGGACGCTTAACCGCCTGAGCCACCCAGGTGCCCCTGCACTTTTAACAGATTCCCAGTTGACATGTTGCTGCTGGTTCACCGCCATGCCTTGAGCACCGCTGGTCTGCAGGAAGGGTGGGGGTCGTGAATGAGTTTGTCAAAGAGGAGGGTAGGAAATGAGATTGTACTGCGCTGAGAGACATCTTTCTAGAGATCAGACTTGGGCACATGCCTCACATACTCAGAGGTCTCCACGGCCCCCCGCTGCCTGCAGGATCAGGGCTCAGGTGCGGCACCTGGCAGTGTGAGGACCCTCCTACTTGGGCTCTGCCTTCCTCTCAAGCCCTGTTGCCTCCACTCCCCTCTTGGACTCCATATGCCCATGACCCTGGGCTTCTCATCCTGCCCTTAGTGTAGTGACCTTTTTCCTCCTTTCCTGTCTTTACACATGCTGCTTCTACTACTACCTGGGTCAGCCCGGTCCGCTTTCCTAAACCTAGGAAACTCCTCCTTATCTGAACGGACCCCTCAGCTGCTACTGCTGAGAAACCTTCCCTGATTGTCCCAGATGAAGCTTTGGCTTCCTTCCCTGTACTGATGCGGCAGTGATGTTGTATCTCCACCCAGGGCTCCCTCCCCATACCCTACAGCTGTCTCCTGTCCCCCTCAGCCTGGGATCATTCTTTCCTGGGATCTAGTTCTGTGCCTGACACCTCAAAGGATGGGCTGGAGCCGAGATGGCATGGCATTCGGTGCGAATGTGTTGTGAATTGAGTGCAATCACTGCAAGGTCGGGTAGTTTGTGGTAGGTCATTCATGCACCTGCCCCAGGTAGGTACCACGCTGGGTGCTGGGGATATATCTCTGCCCTGGCTCTCATGTAGTTTATTGTCAGGGGGAGAGGAAGGCATGAACTGGTTAGTTTCAGCATCGGTAAGAGGAGTAATGGGGAAACGGTATAAAAGGGGCTTGTGGTAAAAGTACTCGGTCTGAGGGGAGTTAGAGGCAAAGGACAAAGGAAGGCTTGCAAAGGGGGTGACGTGTAAACCAGAGCTCGAAAGATAGACAAGCTGGGGTATGGCACGTTTAGGGACTGAAATCATCATATCAGAGGGCAGAGATGAAGTGGCCTTGATTTACAGTGGGCACTGGGGGGGGTAGAGGGAAGTCCCTTGGAAGTGATGATACGGTGAACACCCAAGGGGCTTTGTCCTGGTGAGGTGAGGGTGAAGCAGAACAGAAAAACATGGAAGAGGCAGAGTGACCGTCTTACGGCGTGGCCCAGTCTGAGACGTCTTGAGGGCGTGAGATCAGTGCAGGCTGGCCATCAGGAGGGCTTCCTGGAGGCAAGGTTGTCAAGGATGGGCAGGATGTGGAAGGTAAAAGGAAGAAGGGAGGGCTCTGGGTCGGGGGTAAGGGGAGCCTGTAGGAAGGCACGGAGGTGTGCGTCTAGGTTGGCAGAGGCACGGAGATGGCACCGACCTTCCTCATCGGGGTGCCCTGGATGCCCCTGCAGGCCTGTTCACACAGCCCCAGCAGCTCTGGTGGGGCAGAGGTTGTGATACAATTCCCTTGTTCCACAGGAGGCAGCCAGCACAGAGATTCATGGCAATTGCAGCAGGGGTCACCGGGCCACAAGGTTTGGTGGTTTGTTCTCTTCCAAGGGGTTGACCGTCCCCCTGCTCCAGAAGCTCTTCTGGCCGCCTCATCAGGGGCGAACAACACGGTTGGCTCTGTGGCATGCGTCACGTTTCCTTTCACCTGAATTTTCCCCGTTCCCTGATCAATACAGAAACCACTCTTGTTCTGCTTAAGCCCTTTGCCAGTGGTTCTCTTCCTGGTTCCCTGACACCTGTTGGGTTCACACCACAGTCATGAGGAAAGGGAGGGAGGGCAGAAATGGATTGAAAGCTCACTGTGCATCAGGATCAGGCTAGGCCCAGGCGTGCACGATATTAGTCCTCACCACCAGTGGCTGATGGTGTTTATGGACAAGGACACGGAAGCTCATGACAATGGTGAAGCTCAAGTTCAAGATGAAGCCCCTTACCTGAACCCGTGTTGGTCGGTGGTAGGCTGAGATCCAATCGCTGATCTGTTTGAACAAGCAGAATAAACAATACCAGCTGGAAAAAAAAGCTCAGAAGCCAGAGCCTTACCTGAGGGTCAGTGTGCAGTGGGAGAGT